GTCAGGCACGGAACACGAAATACCACGTGTTTGTCCGAAACGATAGAAACAAGCGAGTAGTGCTCCAGTCACCGTACGATAGCCTGTTTCCTATCATCAGCCGTCACGATAAATATTTTGTCGTGACGATGCCCTCCGTTGGAAGAGGCCCGTTGAAAGATCCCTCCATATCTTTATGCCGGCTGAAGTCTGCGTTCATCTTTACGGACGACCCCAGAGACGACGGCGAACCATCGACTCGTCAACAGCCTGCTCCTGTCGCTTCTAAAAAACGAGTAACATTCTCTACTCGATTTTCTAGCCAAAAATGGCAGAGAACGGGCATTATGTTGCTATATTACCTACAGGCCTTGCACACATCTCTTGTACGTCGGTGCTTCGATAACTTAGTGGCGAGCGCTAGGCAGTACGTCACATGACGTACTACCTTCACTTCGTAGATTGGATGTATAGACGGCCCTGCACAACAGGCCGTCGCTCTCTGTTCGTGCTCGGCTGGCCTTGCGCACTGAACTCCCCGGCTGGCTCTCTAAGCGCCCCGCTTAACCGCTCTCAGCGTTCTCGCCACTTTCTCCTCTCTTGGTATCGAGAGCTGAACGCCCAGACAGCTCTTATCGTCGCTACCTCTCTCCATTCCTCCTCAGGATCTGAGGAGTGAACAAGGCTGCTCTCTAGTCACGCTAATCCTCCGTAGGATCGAAGACTCGACCGTCTCACTCTCTAGCTGTACCTCTTCTCCACCGGACCGAGAACTCAGTTAGGTAAGCTCTCCAGTTGTATCTCCCTTTACAGGGATGAGAAATCCTTTTATCAGACTCGCTCTTTGCGCATAAACCGTCGATCCAAGAAGTGTCTCTCTGAGGCACAATTGTTTGTTAGCCGACCAGTTACATCTCAACTAGCCTTTCTGCTACAATATAAAATATAATGAATTCAATATGCATGGATAAACTTAGATTTTACAAATTGAACAGTTTATTGTCGTAAAAAAAGTTATGATATCGTAAAATGGTGTTCAGCCTGTTTGTGAAAAAAATGAAAAAAATATTAATCTTGTCTGCCATTATTTGTATATTTAGTGAAAAATCTGGTTGTTCCTCATTCTTAGAAACATTTCTACACTTACTAATTGACGGAAACATTCATTTTGTTGACAAAAAAGGAAGTCGTCTACACAATCCTATATTGGCCATGCGTGTGCTGAGTCATTTCCGTTTCGTTGAATTATTTTCCGGGGGAAAAACTGCAAAGTCCTTGTTTAAGACGCAATTAGGTGTCTCAATGTTTTCATCGTCAGGTCAGATCGGGAGTCCGCGGTAGAAATCGAGACCCCCAAGTCAATGGGCATAGGAATTCGAATGAAAGAAATTATATCAGCATTGTCTCGGATGTCCACATAGCAGGACAGTTTTAGGAGTAGTCATTCAGATGTATTAGTAGACGGACAGTTAGTCAATCACCAACGTCAACAATATGGTTGAATTCAAAGTTTTCTCATCAGATAGTCTCAGTTAATCATCTAGTAAATTAGCAGTTCAGTTAATCACCGTATCAATACGGTGAAGCGGCTCTCAACAACGATCAAACAATCATCGAGACAGTCTGAATATTGTAATTAAACGACCAGAGACATTAATAAGTCGGTAACGCTTGATATTAACATTTCTCGCGTTTTCCCGGTATTGTTCCATCCGAACATGACTTCACACAATTTCCACCCAACAACCCCAGTTCCTCACCAACCCGTCCTTTTTTCCTTATCATGACAGCAGAGATAGGTGAATGAAGTTCGCCTGAGTCGAAACTCGTAAGGCTGATTCCCTATTGGTCAACTCGAATCCGAAGGCAAAATTCAAATTCGGCGCACGGAGTGCGCAGTAGATCTCGTGTAGCAAATTTTGCAATGAACAAAGATTTGCTCCACCCATTTGACGACTCGAGTCGCATTTCCGGCGATAAATGTCAAAAACCGCTAAAATGGCACTTTTCAATTATTTTGCGACGTACGCCACTGCTCCATAGAATGAACTAAAATTTATTCTTAATCAAAAATAATATTTCTACAACTGCAATTTTCTCTGGGCGCCTGTCAGCGAAAGTATTCCATTAAGGGCACCGACTCCGCTCGGCTTAACTCCAAATTACGAACTAAAAATGGCAAAATGAATTAATCTATTTCTTCTACTCAATGAGATGCCACAAGGGATGTCATTATATGGCCAGCAATGGGTACCACAAAAAACTGTAAATTTCCTCAAAAATACTGATAATTCAGCTCTGCCCATCTGTTCAGTAACTCCACCGCATCTTCTTCCAGATAGGACACGAACCGGGATGCCAAAATACCTAAATTACACTCAAAATATGATTCCTCATATAAATATACTTCTCTAAACTGAACTGAACATCTTGAGGCGATACGCTTCACAAAGCTTGTGCTTGAGAAGTAGAGGAGAAAGAAGGAAGGAAAGAGGAGGAACCCCGAGGAAAACCCGGAGAATGGCTGGGACACCATTCTCCGTGAGTGTCCCATTTTTGTTCCCTGCTCCAACGAATTTCCCGGCCCCGTATTAATATTCCCCCAACGGTGAGGCTCCATTAAATTAATTTTCTTCTGTTCTCATTTAAGCACCCTATCAATTATTACTTTTCCAGTCGCCCCTCTGTGTTAGAGTACTGCGCATAGCCGCAAGTGAGTTGGCCGTACATCCCTAACCCGAGTTAATCAGTTATTAGTCAAAAGGCCCGGATTATTTTTCATGTTAATATGTTGTAATGCGATTAGA